CGGCCCTGCCACCCCCTTCGCCGCGGGGGGGGCGGCTCCTTACTGCAGTTGGCGGGCTCGTCCGATCCGTCCACGCAGTCGTTGTCCCGGTCGCACACCCAGACGCGGGGGATGCAGCGCTTGGTGACGGCGCACTGGAACTGGTTGGGGGCACAGGTCACCTCCGCTGTGCAGGGCGACAAGGGAAACGGGGGAAGTCGGGGGGGGGAGAGGGAGCCCGGCAGCAGAAACCCGGCGGGAGGGGTCGCCGGCCGAGCCGCGGGGAGATCCGCACGGGGTGAGCTGCTGAGCGCAGGCCCCGATGTGAAGAGACCCCGACGGCGCAGGGTCATGGCAGGGGCCCGGGGACACGAGTGAGACAGTCTCTGCGCGGGTGCATTCCGAATTCAGGCCCGCTCCGTGGCAGACCGAGCTGTGTGAGGCTCTTTGGTCATTTGTCTAGTCCCCGCGGCGCCCGTTCTGCCACGCAGTCGCCTGGGCGGGGGGGGCGGATGGGGGCAGAGTTAAGGGTAAGTTTGGAAGCCAGCGCAGTGTGGAGGGCCAGGGAGGAGTGAGGGAGCTGGAGACACCCAGAACCCCCTTTGTGCTCGACGCTCGCCAAGCAAACAGCCTGCCCACCCCAATGCCCAGGGGCCCCCCCTCGCAGGGAAGGGGAGCGATAAGGCCAAGCACGATGGCGGAAAATCCCCGGAATAAAACGCCACTTGAGACGGACGCTCACAGACTCTGCCAAATCCTCAGACTCACACGGGAACTATAAAAAAGGGGGGTGTGTGGAGGGGAGGGGGCTGCCATGGTACTTGGGGTTCGGCCCTGCAAAGCTTCTGAGCATCGAATCTCGATCACAGAGCCCAGCTCTTCACGCTGGTTCAATCGAACCGGCCGTGGGAGCGTCTGCAGGGCGCCTGCAGCTTTGCACGGCGAGGGGTCAACGGACGCGGCCTGTCGCCTGTTCCCTGAAAACCATCCCGTGTGCATCTCCTCACCCCCAGCTCAGACCGGCGTGGAGGCCTGGGGCGAGGGACCTAGCAACGCCCCTGGAAGTCATGGGCGGGAGAACCGCGGGCCGCTTTCCCCACAGCGACGAGGCAGGGAGCACAGGCACCCCGAGAACATGTTCCCTCTGGCCTCAAAAGCAGGGACCACCTCTTTCCAAGTAACACCGAGGCTAACAGAGCCCCTCAGTCAGGCCTGGGGGCGAGGGGAGGGGTAAGAGGCAGTGGCTTTCAAACGGGTGTTAGGGAATGCTGTTTGGCTACTTTGTAACCTGCGGAACTCCTTGCCACTAGATAGTAGGAGTAAGCCATTCTTGGAAGACCAGCTGCGGCTCCAGCCAGGATCCAGCGAGCAGGGTGCCCGTGCAGGGGACAGGAGAGC